AGAACAGGACACAACTGACTGAAAAACCAGCTCTACACGAAGGTCAAGATCGGAAATTCAGAGCAGTTGTCAGTGTGGAAGCGGCAACAAAACAGGGAACCGTCTGTTGCAAACCTGCCCAATGGTGGAGGCATTTAAAAAAGAACTATTGGCACAGCCTTAGGAAGAGAAACCCCAAACTTTATTGGGGGTCTGTAGGTCCTGCGATGAACTGCAACCTTTGTACTTGAGACTGGGATGCCCATTTAAACATGAAAGAGAAGAAGAAGACTCACTCACTGTCGTAAGAGAAAACACGTCCTTGATCATGCCTTTTCATCGTGACCGCCGAGAACACGTTCTTTTATCTCTTGAAGAAAGCGGAGGCTACATACAGACAAATATACCAAACACCATCGTTTCACTACGCGGTGGAATCAGGTGCTCGTCTACCTGAGTAGATCTAATGAGACTCACTTGCACACTTTCGGTGACCACCACCAGGGGTCCAGGTTAATGGCTCCAGACAGCCACAAATGCGGGCTGATTGTCCACAACATGATGCTGTCAATACACACCATCCACTTGAGTACCGTCGTCATCCCGGGCCCGTACACTTGCCGTCGCAATACACTGAAAGTCAATGCATTGGCTGGGGTCCCCAGAAGCACCAGAAGCAAGGGGTAAATGCTGTTGATACATTTGGTAGTTAAATTCAGTACGCGCACGACATCATCGATAGTGTGGTTTGACGCGCTGGAAATAGATCTGCTTACTATTTCGTTTCTACTGAGAAGCGTGGGGTCCATTTTCTAGTCTAGACGGAAGTAACCCATGTACGTTCAGTATTTCACAGCTGGTCGTCTGTCTGGGCGTACGGGAAACTCCGTTACCTTCTCGTGTTCTTTTTTGTGTCTTCTATTATTTTTATGGAAGTGTCTACGTACTCCCCGATTGGGGTCTACGTAGTCATGGTGTCTAGGTGGGCCCCAAAAATGTTGGATTGTGATTGGTTGTAAAAGAGCATGAGCCTTTCGTTAGCATTTTGCCAAAATGGCCGCCCCCTGGAATCGACTAGATCCAGTCCCGAGATGGCCACACTATCTGGCCTTCTCGTCCAGTCCCCATGTATGAATCAAGTTGCATGATAGGCCTAGTGTGTTCCGCCAATTCACAGACAAGTAGTCAAGAGTCGCTCTTCGGTCATTCGCCCACCAGGCCACTACTAGATAAAATCTAGACCGAACTGTATACTCTTGGCTGGGTGCACAACAAAATCTAGATCTAGATCTAGATACGTTTATTTATTAAATACTCTCTCTCTTCTCTCTCTCTCTCTCTCTCTCTCTCTCTCTCTCTCTCTCTCTCTCTCTCTTGGCTAAAATAAACTAATTATAGTAAATTAATTATGTAAGGGAAATAATAAGACCTGCTTGTGGTTCATTCCCTTAGCAGGACATTGGCTATTAAGTTGTTCCCCTTCGTAGAAACACTTCCATGTTGTTTGTTATGTCATTTTCATATCATAATATGTCATGTTAGTATTTCACATTCTTTGCCACCGTTTATTATTAGGCAGGTGTTGTATTATTCTATGTGAGAATGACTAAGACTTGTGAGTGTCAATTATTAATGAAAGAATGTATTCTGTATCAATCATGTAAATAATTTAACATGTTGAGCAGATATTGTTCCTTTTAGATATTGATCATTCCAGTAATTAATACTTTATGTTCGACTCAAGACGAAACTCCTGTGTTCCCGATTGGTGTTCAAGTTTGCTGTTACAAGGTTTCTGTCTCCAGATACCAGACATAACCACAAAACAGAAAAGAAACCAAAAGAGTCAAACAAAACATCCCTCCCTAGTGGGGCGGTTTAGCCCAAAAATTAAAATGAATTGTGCATTTTGTGATACAAGCACCAAATTTGGCACAGATGTACATTAACATATTGCAAACATTTTTAGATATTGGGCCACTCGGATTTCTCTACTTTATGGCCGCCATATTGGATTTCAAAATGGGCGCCATTTGAAATCTACATTTGCGAGTATCTGAGTCACATGCTGCTATTGACTTCATTTTGGTGTCTAAATGTATGTTTTGGGTGGCAAGGAATCCAATGGTAACAATCTGCATAGCGTATTTTTACTAATGGGCCGCCGTATTGGATTTCAAGATGGCCGCCATTTGAAATCTACATTTGCGAGTATCTCTGGGTCAAATGCTGCTATTGACTTCATTTTGGTGTCTAAATGTATGTTTTGGGGGGCAAGGAATCCTATGATACCAAATTCACAATCCAATGCACAATCTAATGCACAATTCTAATGCACAAATCTAAATCAAAGACACAAATCTAAAATTCTAATGCACAAAAATCTATTCCAATGCACAATTCGTGCCCAATCCAATGGCACCAATTTCAACGTAATGTTATCTTTCACACTCTGCTTTATAAAGTGATCTAGGAAAATAATAGATTGAACACGATACTTTGAAAAGAATGATTATATGAAAGCATGGTGATTGATTGATTGAGTGTGTGTTTTACGGCGCTATCGACTCAATTTTGAAAGCATGTTAAATGGGTGTAAAAGTCTTAAGTCTGTTAATGTCGTAGGTACATTTCTAACATGCTCTAATTTCTGAGGCTCGGTGTATACTGACATTCTTCAATGGTCTGGTATCTGAGGCTAGGTAGATATCGGTACTGAAGATGCATGTACATAAACAGTGTCGTGTTAACAAGTTCAGCACTGCCACAAGTACATGTATGTTGTGGACTCATCGTACTGTGCAGTCCCCTTCACACACACAGATGGCAGTCTTCTTGCATTTGCAGAGCCTCACACACCATAAATGGCACTTGCAAGAAACCAGTTCAGTGCAGCTGTGAGCTGCCTCGAGTAGCCTGGTCCAGTATGGTGTGTACTGTCCTCCAGTCATTGACCAGCCCTAGTTGGTTGGTGGAGGGAGCTCTGGTGCTGGCAAAAGTATCTGACCCCACACATTTCCAACTCAATACACTCCCCTCTTGACATGTTCCTCTAAAGCTGCCTTCGTTGGAAGGACCAGCTGCACATCGTTCTTCCTTGCGAAGAGTTTCCTCCTGGTCGTGTCATTGTACGTGCATTTTCTGGTTCGATCATACAACAGGATCACGAACCTCTTGATGATGGACATTGCATTGTTTGGTATGTCACGTGGTGCAGAGGACACCAGCAGCAGCGCCCAGTGAGTTCTGGCAGTACCGTCTAGACTTCCCACGCAGTCTTCTTGCCATATGGGATGAAGATCTTAGGAGCATACTCTTCAAATGTCTTTAGTTTAATGCAGCAAATCTGGGCCATGGCTGCTCCATCAAGAACTATACAGCTAGTGACAGGGGTTTCTGTCTTGGCGTTGAAGTTTTCTTCAAAGCCTGTGATGAGATCATTCTTAGTACAAGTGAATAGGTTTCAACCAGCAGACAGTGCAGGACATGCCTGTTTCTTGTGACGAAAGAACTACTCAAGGTTTCCATCTCTCAGCCAATGTACAGGCGTGCAACAAGTTCACAGTCATTTTTGATAGAGGCGAAGTGTTCCTAACATTTACTCCTGTTTCTTGGAGTGGAAGTGCTGAATACCTTCAGCTTTGTCACGAGGAATGGGGTCGGCCACTGCCTTTGTTCTGTCCAACAGACACTCTCTGGTGAAAGCCTCGGGCTTCTCTTGCCCAATCCTCTTGGCTTTCATCACGGTCTCCACGGCTGAATGACCTGCGATGTCCTTTGTGTCCAGAATGCCTAGATCCTGACTCTCCTCGAATGGGTTGCCCATCTTCTTTTTGATAACGACGAGACAGCGAACATCTTTCACAAATGAGGCATGTGCACTTGGTGTCTGATCATGATGACGTGTGTCTGCTGCTTGCTTGCTGTCTCCTGTATTGGTTCCCGTCCAGGAATTCTTCGATCACCCTAGCAATTTCTGGTCTTGAAACCATCCGGCGACGAAGAGCAATAGGATTGTCAGTTAGCCCAACCGCGCAACCGTTTCCTTTGATGCAGGCATTATTCTGCTCATGTGCCTGGTCAATCGGGATTAAAGAGAACACCCTCTGCGTTTTCTCAACTATGAAATGGCCTTCACTGAATTTCCTGGCTACGTCTGGGTGTTTGGTAGTGAGTTCGGCGATGTCCTTCATGTG